TCTATCAGAATTTCAGTACAATCACAAAACTTGTTATTTTGTGCTACAAGTTCTAGCATCATAAATTAAAAGTTGCGAATGAAGTTTGGATAATTTGTGGAGCCACATAAACTAATAAATCAAGGACTTTTAGTAATGATAAGGCACTTTTTCATAAGCCAAAAGTTCCACCATTGATTTTTCAATTCATGCTCCTTGTCAGTAGCATTACGATGATCTACGCTGGATGACGTGATGCCCCAACGTGCACATGGTGCATGATAGTCGTACACATAACAGTACACTGCATTTCACAAAAATGATAAACTTTGAAACAACATAATAATAGTTATTTCATTCGAAATACCATATGATAGGTCTCAAAGATGCCAAATTTTGACCAACTTTTAATAACCCTGTATCAGAGATTACTAGGTGACAATGCCTTTTATGAGTTGAGAACTACAAGGAAATTTAACACAGTGATGCATAAAATGAGAGTAGTCTCTGCATGTAATCTATGAACAATTGGAAAGAAAATACTTGTAAAAAATATGATGCCAACAGTCAATTTTTTTTTTTTTTTTAACAAAACAACTTCAACTAGATATCATTTGTTTCAATAGTCATAAGTTGATCTAACGAAGCTTATTCATAATTATAAAGTTTCATTATCATAATTGAACTTTGTAATATAATTTACTATAGTAAAGTTAGATACCTAAAATTATAAAAGGAAGAAACTAATTATCAACTTGTACCCGCCCCTTTACCCCAATAATAAATAACTCACTATAATCATTTATGGTATCACTGATGACCTATTTATCAGGGCCACCATCCAAAACAATACAATCATCGTCACCATCATCAAAAACGACATAAACACTGTCTACTGTTTGTTTGGATGACTTTAACTTCTGGTGCTTGGTGGTGTTGACCTCGCCTACCACCACGACCTAGTCAAAGTCTTCCAACTCCATAAAAACACAATAATGTGAAAAATTTTCGAGCAAATTTGATATTGCAATTGGCTATGAGAGCGAAAAAAGAATTAGGATTTTATAGTTGATTAAAGATGGTAAGCTGGTTCTAAAAGGAAATAGAAGTTAGTGACACGTATCATGTGAGTCTTGAACAAAGAAATGAAGGCGCAACGAATTAAGAGCAGCCTTTGGAAACAGAATGGCAGGAACGAGTTGAATGACTAAGACTTCATTTTTCCAACAACGAAAAGATTACCCATTAATTATCTAAATTCTATTTACTATGTTATGATAAAATTTTAGTTTATATTAATTGAATAATTAATACTTTATTTTAATTTAATCAAACACTGTATAATTGAAATTTAACCTGAATTTTTAATGTTCTAAAATTTTTACAAAATACCAAAATCTGAGTTTGATTGAAATTAGATCAAATGTTAAACAAAATTCACTAAATCTAAATCCACTTTTTAAAAACTTGACTTTAAAAAAGATATTATTTCAAAATAAATGAAAACTTTCATCTATTATAAAATATGTGCATCAAAATATATAAATTTGTATGTTAAATTATTAGTATTATAAGATACAAACACTAATATTAATTAAAAAACCTTCAATTAATATTTGAGATTACTTTTTTCATGATATTTCACAGGTTTATTTTCTTCTCTTTTTTTTTTTTTTTTTGCTTTCATAATAATATCACATACTTGATTATAATAATTTTGATAAGGGGTTTTTTTAACCTTGCTTCTAATTTTTATGAACATTTTATGTTATGTCTGGTTTAACTAAATTTATTTTATTTTCAATCAAATTTTGACTTTTAAATTTTTTAATTATTTTAGGAGAAAATATATAAAAATATTACTACACCCAACTTTTGAAACAATTATATAACTTTTTTCATTCTTGTGTTTATAAAAAAATAAAAAATAAAAATCTTTGCGACAATCGAAAAACACAAGTATTCTAAAAAAGAAAAAAAAAATAGAAACATTGTAAATAAATATTACAATTTCATTATACAAAATTTTGAAACATTATAAAACTTTATTAATTTGGAAACATTAAAAGATCTCATCAATACATGGGATTTTAAAAAATATATATATATATAAATATTGCATTTATAAGGTGGTGTAAGGTCAACTCATATTATATGGTCCCAAAATCAACATTTCATGAAATATTCTTCAAATAGTTAGTGGGAGCTGAAGTGACCAAAACATTCCAAGTGGTCCATGACTAACAGTGGTCTCCATATTTTGAGATATATACCACGATGGTGGACATGTGAGACCCATCAAACCCATTATAAATTCTTTTGCAAATTATATTATATGTTTTAATCATATCCATGATTTAGATATATAAGTTAATTATTTTGATTAAATTAACCAAACTTAACATTTGAACTTGTTAGAAATTTAAAATTTTACAAAATAAAGTAAAATAGAAATAATTTCTTTCCAAAGTTCTCATATTTGTATTAAAAAAGTCGTGAATTAAAGTAATTTTATAAATATAATATTGAACTATCAATAATTTTTTTTTAAAAAAATCTAATTATAAATGACCAATAGTTCAAAAATTAAGATAAACAGTTATCTAAAATTTTATAATTATAATTAACCAGCATTCGGTGATTGGTTGCTTCGTTCACTTTCTTGGAGGTGGAATTTTATACATACATTCACATATATATATATATATTATGTAAAAGCTTACAAAAAAAAAAAAAGAAACTTATATTTATATAATATAATATATATATATATATATATTGCGTCAGGGTGGCTCCCCAGCTTTACTCTTCAGAGAATCTTTATCGTAAAGGTGATTTCTAAACACATTTAAAGCAAAAACAAAATGAATGGGTTATCGAGGAAAGGAGGCGGTAATCACTAATAAGCACGTGCGACCTCGGATTGATCCCCGTGATATTTGCCGACTTTTTTTTTTACCGCCTAAATGCGCTCGTGTCGTCCACGCGCTCATCTTATTGGTTAATTTATTTACTTTTATTTTGGTCTGTTAAGCAAATTTATATTTAATCAACCAATTAATTAATCAAATCAATTGTATAAAAAACAAAAAAACATTTTTTGGAAAATTAGAAAAATAAACATTACCTCTGCGATTTTGAACGTCCGCTGTGCGCGTCAGTTAATTTGGAAAGTGAAACTCGAATTAATCGCAACCTTAAAATGGAATCGAACGGCTGAGATCTAACTTAAAGTCCCAGTAGTGGACCCCAGCGGATTTAACGGTTCGTGAGTGGGATTCTGGTGGGCCTGGAAACGACACGTGGATGTTCAAAGTCAAACAACTTTCTCGTTATTGGAAGTTATCACAAATAGTTTTAAAGGGGCAGTCCAAAAAATAGTTTTTTTCTAAAAGAAATATATATATATATAAATCATAATATGAATAAATATTCGAAATGCATCAACGGAACGTTTATTTTTTATCAATCATGTCCCTCGTTATTTAAATTTAATAATATGTGTAGCTTTATTTGCACATTTTAATATTTATATTTATTTTAATTAAAAAATAATATATTCCTTTAAAAAAAATATAAATTCAGATATACTATTCAAATATTATAATTTTATTCAAAACTTTAACATTTAGAGTATATTTAGACTAATTTTATGTATTACAATAAAATTTATACGTAATTGAGTCAAAGATGCAAGTAATAAAATTAGTTAAAAAATTATTATAAAAAAGCGAACCTTATATATAGTTTATAGTCCAAGTTTATTTATCAATTAATAAATATTTTATTTTAAAAGTATTTTATTTGTTCTACTTATAATTATCTAAAAACTCAATTAAGTTATAATAGATTTACATTATTTTATAGTTGAAATAAATAATAATTTTAAATAAATTTCACCCAAAAAAAATTATTTATTACGAAATATGTTAAAACTTAAAATGGTCTAATTAAGGGTGATTCATAAAACTTGGTGGCAACTTGAAAATTTATTAATATTGATTAAAGATCTTGCTATGATGGGTTTCGGTGACATCAACATCGATCAATCAAACTTATTTTATATAGATTTATTGGCATATAATAATATTAAAATATTGATTTTGAAAAGTATATCTCACTTCTTTATTTATAAAGGATTAAACAACATGATTATTTTATTATTACGCAAAGTCAATGCATGATTTTGTAATTTTCATGGGCCATTATTTTATATGGGCTTTTCTTAGTCAATGTTTATATACTTGCAAAAACTACAAACTTTTTTGAATGTCATAAACTAAAACAAAAAATTAAGGTGGTGTAGTTTTAAAAGTTCATAAAGTTAACAACGTGTAAGATTAAATTATACGTTTTTAGTTGGTTGGTGGGAATTATTAACTTTTAATTGATCATCAATTAATATACGAAGATTTTAGACGGTATTAGTTATAAATAAATATTTTGAACGAGAAGAATGTTAGATTGAATTTTTTTATTGTAATATGTTAATTCATGTAGTAACTCAAAAACAAGAACTTTAATATACAAGTTTTGACTATAAATAATAAGTTTAGGCGGTTAAAAATGACAATATCATAACGTAAAAGTTTTGATCTTAATTGCCGTATATCGCATTTTTTTTGTTGAAAATATTATAAATCTTATCGAATTAAATATTACGAATATCCACATCATCTATAAAACTATATAATAACTCAAAAAGAAGAATTTTAACGTACAAGTCTTAATGGTAAATAATGAATTTCGGTAATTAAAAATAATAGAGAGCACTGAATTCTTAAATTTGGACGAGATAGCAAAATATGAAAGAAAGGGGTATAATTCATATTTCCAGAATTATTGGGGGGGCAAAACGCAATAAGCTAAATATCTGGTGATAAATACGAGATAAATGGAATATTGACAAATTTGAAGGGGTCTTTGAATTTTCTTCGTTGTCTTTTCCATTTTCCTCTTTAGAAAGTTGCATAGTTTATTAGTTCGCACAATCTCCTTCTCTCATGTGTAACCTCTCCTTCTTTAAATGTCCTTCTATTTTTGGCAAACTATATTTTCTTCTATCCGTTTTCACACCAAACTCAGAAGCTTTCTAATCCAATACAGGTATTCAAACAATCTCTCACATTGATTTCTGATGATTTTCTGCAATTATTGCCCCGTTACTTCATCCACGCATTCATTCCATTCCCCTCTCATTTTTCTGTTTCAGTTACGAATTTGGATTTGAATACGGAGGTAATGAGTAATTTCTATTATTGGTCTCTCGTTTATTATCAACGTATTTTGGGATATATCATTCTTATTTACCTTTTGGTATCCTTTTTTTGAGACCTTTTAGCAAATACCTGAGTTGTTTTCCTCTTCGTGTTCTTTTTTGCAACCGGAGTAATTTAGTGTTACGCACAAAGAAGGTTGAAATATGTTCAGGTTGTGAAGGAGAGGTGGTTTGTACAAGTGTTGGGGTCTTAGAGGAATTCGTCACCTGGTTATTCATGAAATCAAGGATCAAGAGCATGTGAGGGGAGAAGATTTCCAGAATCTGTGTTATCTACGCTGTGGTTGCTTTAACAAGGTTGGCATATTCGTTTTCTTACAGAATCTTTCTGAATAAGTGAAGGAATGCTTTTATGCTATGTAATTTAGTGCAGAGTGGTGGTTTAATGGGTGGAAAAAAATGGATAGGAAGGGAGAGGGGCTAGGTGTCGTAGAAAGAGACGGAAAAGAAGATGAACTAGGTGTCATAAAAGAGAACATGAAAGAGGAGGAGCTAGGAGTTGTAGAAACGGACATAGAGGAAGACGAGGTAGGTGTTGTAGAAAGTGACACAAAAGAAAAAGAGCCAAGTGATTTGGAGACAAACACGAAAAAAGAGTTTAGTATTGTAAAAAGTGATCCAAAAGAAGTAGAGCCAAGTGTTCTAGAAAGTGATATAAAAGAAGACGAGTCAAGTGATTTCCAAACAGAGCCAAAACCAGATAAATTAAGTATATTGGATTTGGACGAGAAAGAGGATGAGTTACCTGTTGCGGAAAGGCATACAAAAGAAGATGAACCAAGTGTTGTAGAAAGAGATATGAAAGAAGATGAGATAGGTGCTTTTGGAACAGACACAAAAAGAGATGAATTAGGTGTTGTAGAAAGGGTGCCGGAAGAAGGCAGGCCAAGTGTTTTAGAAACGCATACAAAAGAAGTTGGGCTTAGTTCTTTAGAAACAGACGCAAAAGAAGATGAGTTAAGTGCGTTGGAAATAAACATCAAAGAAGCTGACTTGAGTGTTGTAGAAAGGGATCAGAATGTAGGTGAACTAAGCATTTTGGAAAAGGATACAAAAGACAGTGAGCCAAGTGCTTTGGAAACAAACACGAAAAAAGACAAACCAAGTGCTGCCGAAAGGGATCTGAAAGAAGACAGGACAATTGTTCTTGAAACGTATACAAAAGAAGATGAGCTAAGTTCTTTAGAAACAGACAGAAAAGAAGATGAGTTAAGTGCATTGGAACTAAACATCAAAGATGACGACTTAAGTGTTGTAAAAAGGGATCAGAAAGAAGATGAGCTAAGTGTTTCCGAAAGGGATACAAAAGATAATGAGCCAACTTCTTTGGAAAAGAGCACGATAGAGGATGAGTCAATCGCGTCAGAAGCTGGCATAAAAGAAGATGAATTGGGTGTTTTAAAAAGGGATCTGAAAGAAGATGAATTAAGTGACTTTGAAAGGGATAGAACAGAAAGTAACCTTGGTGTGGATACAAAAGAAGATGATGTAATCGTTAACAAAATGGATATGAAAGAGGATACAGAAGCAGAAGAAGATCATCCATCTTCTTCACACGAGGTTTTACAGCAATTCTCGGAGGAGGCAGTTAGAGTGGCCGGAGAAGAGCTGCAAAGTGTGTGCTCCAGCAGTGCAAGCTTACCACCAGGAGGGCCTGGACACAGGCGCTGCCGAAGTGAAATTGGCACTTTGGGACACAAACGTGGTGGTAGCTTTCAGAAATTGAGAACCCAAGTGCAAAAGGCTTGGCGGTGGGGTAGCAATTCACGGGAAGAAGGTGGCCCTCCAAGTTTCAACCCCGAGGTCTTGGCGAACCAAAAGCGCCAGTGGTACCAGCTTCACTCCAAGACTATGGTATTCCCACTTTAAAGTTGTTTTTTTTTCCAAGTTTCTCTTGACCTGCTACATCTTTTTGACATCTTCTCTTTAGGGGTCAATATTCAAAATGAGTTCTTTGTAATGACAATATATATAAATATATTTTGATATAACATCGTGCCTTCAAGTTGCTCCCTTACATTTACTGCTTCAATGAAATGCTTGTCAGATAAAAAGTTGATGTATGTATGCAAATTCTCATCTTGTTGTAAGTTCTAAATACAGTTTCCATTTGAAGCCGATATTGCAACCTCTAGCAGTTATCATTTCAATGGAAAGATTAACATATACTTTCTGTGTGTTTGATCGTTTGTTCACACATTGGTTAAGCAGGGTTTTGTGGTGGAAGTTGAATGAGGTTCATATGTTATCATTCTCTGCAAAATAAATTACAAAATGAAGATCTTTTATGATTGAAAAGTTGCATTTGTTATTTTTTGATGACAAACACATGTCTGTGTGATTTTTACTCCAAGTCAGATCAACTCATGGCTCCTACTATTTACAATTTGTATTAGACATGCATTGCTCTGTTCTTGTGATTTGTGTCTTCTATGCATTAATTATAGTTTGAGAACAGAATGGTAATCGCAGTAGCATGAAGGCTTAACATAGAGAGTTTCTCTTGGTTTTGGCTGCTTAAATAAATGCATTGAAAGCAATCACTTAGGTGTTCCATTTTCTTTCAGTCTTTCCCTTGCTTGCCTTTGTTTTTATGTAGAGAAACTCTTTGCCTATGGTAGGTGTTTAGTTTCATAGTTGGACCAAATTCGCGCTTTATTTATTAAGAATTAGAATGAAGAATTAAGGGGCGCATTTTTCGTGTTTTATTTGAATGCTTTGATGAATATTATGCTACTTTCAGTGGTTCCAAAAGATTAGGGTATTAACTATTTATTTGTGTTGCTTAATGGCTTTTTATGTTATGCAATACGCTAGATATTGTGATTTATGCTTTAACTTGCTTTATATTGGCTGCTATCAAAATTAGGACCACACGAAGTATAAGGAGCCTACCTCGCTCTTCGAACACTTTATTATTGTCGGGCTTCATCCAGAAGCTAATTTGGAAGCTGTGGAGGAAGCATTTGCTAAAAGGAAGAAATGGGAAATGCAGATGGCTAGATCTGAAATGATAGATTTCAAAATGCTGCAGCATCGTGGGCCTTCACTTCCGATGTTGGAACCTCAGGTTCTGTGAATGCTTGATTTTACTCTCTTCCAGCTCCTTTCTAGTTTCAATGTATGGTTCAATGTAGTATGTGCAGTCGCCGTTGTGTACTGATGTTCCTGTGCAGAATACACATGTACAGTCATCTGTTTTTCTCGTCATTGTTTGATATCCAAACATCAGTTCTGCATTTTCTGTGTGAAGAAATGCCTGTTTGCCCACTGCAAAATATCTTGGTTGATTGCTATGTCTTTATGATGCTTGTAAATGTAGTGCTCATAGGCATTTCTGTTTGCTTCAGTTAATGTAAAACACATGGCGAAACTTTTGGTCATTTTCTTGGTCACAAATAGTTTCCTTCTTTATAATGTATGTCTCCTTTACGTATGAACTGGTAAAAATGTTGTGGTTTTTCTACTTGGACAAACAGATACTCTTTAAATATCCTCCTGGAAAGAAGTTAGCCGTTCGTTCCAAAGATTTAGCAGCTTTCTGTTTCCCTGGAGGTGTCAAGGTTTGATCTTGCTGATCTTTCTTGTGATATTTTGTTTTTTTACAAACTTAAATTTACAGAGCAAGAGCCAGTATATATTTAATGCTTCTTTACCGTTGACACACTTTTTAAAAGTGCTACAACGGATTTTTTTTCTGGTTTTTTTATTTATTTTAAATGTTTGCATTGTCATTGTTGTATTCAGTATTTCCTATCTTCTTTGTCTGATTCCCTCTGCTGAGCATCTTTTCTTTTTCCCCGATCCCATTGTTGACATATAAATGATGATTACATTGAACCCGTGCTTTAGGTTAATTAGTTATATGATTTTCGTGTACATTTTGTCAACATTATGGTAAGTTGCTCAAGTACCAGATCCAATTCCACCATCTGGCCTTAAGGAAGACTGATGCATGGAAATCAAATGCTCTTAGATGATTTTATTAAATTTTCCAAAAAGCTTCTCAATTATCTCAAACAAATATAAATGTTATGGATAATAACTGAGATATCTTATAAAAAATGTTTATAAATCTAGAAAATGCAAATTATATTGAAGGAGTATAAGAATAAAATATACCCTATATAATTAATTATATTTTATTTCAAAAAATACCCTATATAATTAATTATAGTCAATTGTCTATTTATTTTTTATATTCTAGAAGTTTATATATATAAAGCTGTGATGTTACACATTAACCATTTTTAATATGATATTAGAGTTTAGATTAAAAACATATATATTTTTTTACAAATTCTATTCAATATTCATTGTTGAAACAAGAAAAACCTTAAAAAAGAGGTCAGCCTTCATAGTTGGTCGTCATAGTTCAGTTGCCGTTCACCAATCGTCAAGATTGGCCTTGCTTGCCGCCAGCACCAGTAATCCAGTCAGGACTTCTCCTGTGCGCTTTGATCCTACTGCTTAGCTGCACAGACTCCACTCCTGCTGCTTAGACGTGGTTGCACCAACCATATAGACTGGGTGCTCCGCTCCTCTATGCACCGTTGTTATCTGCATAATCTTTTGCCTCAGCCACGAGTCCATATTCCTTCATACTCTCCCCTCCAGATTCTGTCCACAAAGCCACAAGTTGCGGTTCCCTTCCTGCACCTAGCTGTGCCTTGTCCCAATAATCTTCCTAGCCACACATGTAGATTCCTTCGTTCGCTTCGCTCCAAATTCTGTCCATGTAGAGCCACAAACCGCAACTCCGTTCTTGCACCCAGTCGTACCTAGTCCCATTTGCCAAGCAAAAACATTTCTCACTGCAAGCCATGAGCTTTCCTAGCAGCCGCTCTGGTCAGATGCAGCTCGACCTTCTGGTAGATTC